TGTTTTCTTCCGTCTTGGAAAGATAATCCATTGCCTAGCAGGTCCTCTGAATAGAGACTCTATGAAGGGAATCTTGATCTCATCATGGTATTCTCCGCATCCCTTGACAGTAAAATATCCTTCACATTGTGCTAGGAATATTCGTATTTTATCTTCGGCTCCTTCATATGTGTCAGGTTCTTTTGCTTTTGGCCATTGGATATTTTCTTGTCCTGTATTTTGTGTTGCTGCAAGGAATGCCTAGAACTAATTTTCAGTCATTCTAAGTATACTGGTACCAGGTGCTGGAGCAGCCAGGGCCAGTGGTACTGGTACTGCTATTCCCAATATTCTCTCAGGTCACGGAGTTCCAATAGGAGAGCTATTGACTAGTGAGCCATTCTCTGAAATTACTGGACTTGCTGTTCTCGAGGGCTCTGCTGAAATGTGATCTTGGGTATCGCTAAATCTCCCTAGATTAAGGTTCTCATCGTCAATGTTGATATCTTCTTTCCTGTTTGGGTTGAAGAAAGCCATCTTGTATTGTTTGGCATCGCTCTAGGTAATACTTTGTAATGTAACAAACCCCTTTCAGATGGTTAGTTCTTGGTGATGGAGAACGATACTTTTCTTCTCCTTCTTCCTAGTCTTATGATAGCTTAAGGCCTTTGCCTATGTTGCTGATAGTACAACACCTCTGTCTTCTATCAGGAATACCTATCATAAGTTTTCTCTAACTCTTCTTCATGAAGAGTTCTCTTTGGCATAACATTAATAAAAGTCGTGATAATGATAAGGAGCGTAAAGGTATTTTGTATTCGTAATAGTAATAAGTAGGAAAACTACTTAGAATTCAATCTAATTTTATTTAAACTCGTACTGCCAACACTGGCATACGATGAGCTCCCGCTAGCACGGAAATACCACTAACCGGTATACCATGAATTCTAAGCTGACTACGTCTACAGTCCCGCACCTGCCATCCCCAAGTCATTCCCACACAAGAACTAATTACAAGACCATCAAACAACCCAGTACCCACCCCAGTCCAAGTCCGCAGCCCCTCTCGTATGAAGCCAACTAGTACTAAGTATAGCCAAAGCCGAGCAAAAGACCAACCCGACCAGATTCCTTGTCTAACAAAAATTAAAAACACTACTACCCAGCCTGAATACCGTCCTGCAAGACTACCACCACAGAAGAAAACCAACAAAATAAACTAAACCTACAGGCAACACAATGGCAGGGAGGAGGTGACTAACATGTCCACCTCTCATACCTGCATGCCAGGCTGTCAACCCTATAAACCTACTTTGCCAGTTGTCTCCGAAGAGCGTACCGGTGAGGAGCACCTGTACCCGCTACCTGTCCCCTAAACAAAATACCATAAACAAAGGAAATACATAGTGGTAGTAACAGACTAAAAGAGTCAGTGGGGCCTATCTCCCACCCATATTGCCTTGTCTTTTTCTGCCATACCCAGAAGCCAAACCAAAGAAACCAAACAAACCCCACAAAACCTAGTAGGTATGACCTAAACAAATCCAACTAGGTGGTTGCAACCCACTATCTGCACAGGTGGCTGTTAGCCAGCTGCATCAGGAAGCTTTACAGCACTTAGCAGCTTTCACCCAACAGCCCAAGCCAGACTGGAAATGCTTAATTAGACCTCACCCAACCTGACACAGGCCCAACCAGTACTCGCAGATGCCTCTCCCCCCCCAGTCAGCCTCCCCCAAGACTCACACACCAGACGTCACAGAGCCCATCCAGCCCCCCCCAGCCTCTTGAATAGATCAACCATCCAATAGCTACAGGATAGTCTATATCAAGCCCTACCAAGCAGCCACTGGTCTTGGCCACATTAACAGAGCCCCAACCCCCAACATAACCCAGTCAAGGGGGCCCACCAGCCACCACTAGGAGCCACAAAGAAGGCAGTACTAACATCCAAGGGCACCTGCACGAGCAATACCATCCATCCCAGCTGAACCAAAGTCTAACCAAGTCGGGAAATAGTAAGCAGATCCAGCCAAAGCTAGCCCTACAGGTCCGGCAACAGGTACAGACCAAATGACAGGCAAGAGGCGCCCCCAACCGACATGACAGGGAGGGCGAGGGTGAGCAAACAGAAGCAGAAAAACAGAAAGTAGGCCCCACTTGCAATGGGAGAAGCCACCATCCACAATCCACAACCGAACCACTCAGACTTACAGACAACACGAGTGCCTGACAGTCAATCGTCCCACACCACCCTAGGCAGTAATAAAGAACAACACTGGGGGGTAAGATTTTTCTGGTTCAAAGCCATCCCGACCAAGATAAGGAGGAGACAGCTGACTGAATCACTGTAAATACCACAAGGACAAAACTCCAAGGGAACGGCAATAAATAATATCATAGGATTCCGACAATAGAAACACAGTATAATCAGGAGGGGCTAGGCAGGAACTGCCCTGTCACCTGAAAAGTGATACGGCTGGTACAACGAGTTGAGTATACGGGATGGTCATCAAGTGAACCCATGGGCATTTTGTATCATGAGAACTAAGGATTTCATTAAAACCCAACAAGGAACATGAGCTGACCCACAGAATGACACAGGTAATCCTCCCCAATACAATGTTTCCTCCCCCCCAATCGAACGTGAAACCTGTAAGTTAACCAAGGGACAGGGAAGTCAAAAATATTTTACCGAAAGGGACTCGTAAGGGATTAGGATGAAGTGCCCGAGGTACCAGCATCATAAGATACCAGGCAGACAACGAAACAGTGCAAACAAGTAATCTGCTATGCAACGCCTCAGACCTTAATACTAAGAACTCCAGGAACTACTAAGTGAACACAGATATCTCCCCCAGAGTTCCCAGCATTAAGATCCATTATGGGTATAATAGAAATGCTCCGAGGTGAAGCTACAGCAAGGACGAGGAAAAGTACTTAGAACAAAGTGTAAAGAACCTATCTTCCTTGGCCATCCCAGCCTCCTTATATAGTGTTCTTCCTGTCCCAGGTCATGTGACTCAAAATGGTCACATTTGCAAAACCAAATCATATCAAACAAGTCATATGATCCCAAGTAGTCATAAGTGCGAAACCCATAACCTCATAACAAGGTCATGTGCTAAACATAAATCATATGTGCAAGGCATTCCTGCAAGGCACACTTACAAGGCACACTTACAAGGCACACTCACCAGGCGCACGTCCTATGACTCATACTCGAGTCATGTGCAAGACATAACAAATCATAACATAACATGTCATATGACTCAAATGAGTCATATGTGTAAAACAATAACATACCTATGACTCATAACCATGTGTCACGTGAAAACCTTTTCCTCACCAAGCAACATTCGTGACAGGAGAGAGGAATTAGACAGCTGATGACTGGTTGTTTTTATAGTCAAACTCATGGTCTTTTTTTGCCTTTTTTTCCTGATTCTTCTTCTACTAGGTGTGGAGTTACTGGGAAGTCAATTATTGATGTTTATGATCATTATAACTTTCTAGAGATATAGGAGAATATCAGAGAAAAGGCTGGAGAAGAAGAGGTATTTTTTATTATTAACAATACTAAGACTCACTTGCCTTTTAGGAGATGACTCAGAGGGCAGGAAATTACATTGATGGAAATTCCTGCCTATTCACCAGATCTCAATCTAATTGAAAATATTTGGTCTCTGGTGAAAGGTAAGCTTCACAAGCACTACCCCGAGCTATATCTTATGAAGGGTGATGTCAATGTGGTCAAGAAGGCAATAGTAGAGGCTATCACTCATTGTTGGGAACTTCTTGACACAAAGGTTTTTGATACTTTGGCTGGATCAATGGTGGATAGAATAGAGGCAATTGTTAAGGCTGATGGATGGTATACCAAATATTAATTTATACTATGTATTTACATCTTTTAATTTTTTTTTTGGTTTTCATGATAGTGGATTGTTGGGTGAGTGTGGTTGTCATCGCCGAAGATTTTCCTCTGTTGAATTGCGGTTAATTTTGTCCACTCACAATACTTTATATTACATAACTTACGATATCAGAGTGTTTTCAAAGAGAACTGCCATTTCATACCCCCCAATCCGGGCAAAAGAACCAAAATTGTCGTCTGAAATAGTAGTCCATGTCAAAAATACGTTGACATGGTACTCAACACCCCGAATGCCATCAGGAGCGGGCACACTAACAGGTAACATATACTATACTTACCACTTACGATAATCTCACCCAGGGATCTGCGCAGCACTCGTGCCCCGGTCGTCAACTGTAACCGTGTATTTGGATTAAAAATTGGGGCCTTGGTAATTACTCCGCATCTTCAAATTAGTGTATATGAATACTTGGAAATTCGCAAAGTATCAAGCTCCCCATCACCAGTCCAACGAATAGCACAAAGTTGTTACGCAAGCAGCATACTCGCAAAACTCGATGGTGTATCCCCCCCCCACACATACCAATCCTCAGCCCCTCATACCAGCAGATATAGTGAATATCATGGAAGTACAGTACTAAGTCTCTTCTCAGGTCCGGAAAAACCAAATAGAGATTTCGGGTTGATCTGTCGATGCCACCTTTTGAAAGCGATCGCAAGTCAACCGAGTGGTCTCTGGGTTGGGCTTTGTCATGGTTACTACGCGAGTATTTGAGTGGTTCAGTTTGGCTAGGAGTGCAGAGCTTCAGCTACGGAAGCTCCCGTTACGCTTGAAGAGGAGACCTCTGGGATATTCTGAACTATTGTGTTCATATTTTCTCACTCGCTCGATATATTGCTTAAACGAAGTGTGAAGCGCATGGTAGGATAAACTGTAACCAGTAACAACTCACGGTTGACCCGCATGTAAGCCCAGCGGTGATCTGTTCTCTGGCATCATCGGTCTGGGCTTTAGATATTAGAAAGATAGAGGGAATCTACTGGTGTTGATTCTTCGCAACCGAACAATTCACCGCATCATTCAGACATTGATCACTACACTTTAACCCCATATAATTCCTCCAAGGCCACTATGATTCAGATCAAGCGTCCCATTTATTCTGTGAATCTATTCTGCACCCACTAACCCACCCAATCCACACACCGAGCAAATACCATATCCGCAAAAGCAACCTACTCAACCGCAACACAACAGCGACAAAAGCCCCCCCCGGCTCTACCTTTCCAAATCACCAACACACCCAACTAAAAGCAATCACAATAAGCAGCAACACACTGATAACTTTAAAATGCTGAGATGGGTAATCATGTAGCTAAAAAACGTAAAACTAAATATACACATTGAAAATCGAGAAAGAAAGGAAAACTCCAAGGGTTGATTATTGCAAACATGCCGTCACTTTTTCCCCTTAGCCTTCGCTCTCGGCTTTGATGCAGACTTCGGTTTCCTCTTAGGCTCATCATCTTCATCTTCATCTTCGCCTTCGTTCTGGCTTTTCTTTGACGCAGCTTTTCCTTTACCCTTACCCTTCGGGGTGGCCTTAGGTTTCTTAGCCTTAACGTACTTGTCCTTCGAGAGGTCTTGCTCCTCTTCAACTTGTTTCTTAATGATGTCCTCATCGCCGCCTTCATCCTCGCTCTCCACGATGACGTCCTCAAGATCTGGGGCGTCTTGCTTACCGGCCTTTGGAGCCGCGACGCTGGAAGACTTCATGAAAGGCATGCGGTGAGACATTGAATTGTATCTGCTCTATGTTAGCTGTGGGACTACGGGAATGGCGATAGGTAATCTGCTCACTGTCTGGTAAATGAGCTCTTAGTTAGAGTTGGGATGTCAAGCGCGCTCGCCGGTCCAACAATGAGCTCAACAATTGCATCCCAGTCATCCTTTGTCAGGAAGTAGTCATCCATAGTATCGATAACCTCCGGGATTGCATCTTTGCCTTCGCGCTCAAGCCGTTTGGCAAGCATGCTGTAGAACGCTGGAACATAATTCTGACGAACCTCATGACGGTCACCNNGGCAGAGCAAACTATTACGATAGGTTGGTGCGCGGTGAAGCAGATGCACGGAGACGGATATGCGATTGAATCTCCTTGACAAATCGACTCAACTTGCCTTGTTTCGAGTTGTTTCCCAGCCACGATGTGAAGCAGAAATGTTGTCCTCCAAAGCCACCATACATGTAAGAAGCCGGCTTAACAGTAGAAAACATTCCATGAGCGGGCATCAAACTCCATTGCTGTTGAGGACTTTGTGGGGTGTTAGTTCAAATGTGAAAATTGGGCAAGAACTTGGAAACATACCCATGTATGAGCGCATCCACTAGATCACCGTCGGAAATGCTCTCTGAAGCATTTTCAACCAGTTCAAGCATTTTCAAATTTCTCTCTTTCCCATGATAGTTGTTTGCTCTTGCTGGATTGGTCTTCAAGTAGTTCTCCTGTACCATCATGTATGAAAACTCATGATCATTGAAGTAAAGCTCAATCTTGTCGTTAAGAGTTTTCTTGCTCGTTGGTGCAAACATTTCATTACCCAGCAACTTCTGCGCGATATCCCAAGGCTTCAACACTACATGTTTCTCCCAAGCTTTCGCCCTATTATACAGTTAGCTAGAAATCAGGGCAAACGATAACGCAGGGTACTAACAGGTCTTTTCCTTGATCAAATGTCATACTTGATTGCGTAGTACTGTAAGTAGACAGCATATTGATTATTTGACGAATATCTGCATGTGTCCCCTCCACAAGTTGATCAATGACATTAGGTGGCAGCTTAATGCCTTCACGATATGCAATCGACATTATACGAGAGCGAACCGCAGCTGCGTCAGGGCGCCTGAACGGCAGGTCATAGGTCACCATATCGAACGGCCTCATCTTAGGCAGTTTTCGTTCGTTGCAAATACAGATGATAGGGATCTAGTAAGGTTAGATTACAAACATAGGATTTGAGTAAGGGCATTTCCATGGCATACATTGCTCTTCTTGCACACAGCAGCTAACTGGCCTACACCACCACGGTCACCTGCAGACATTCCGTCCACCTCATCCATGATGAGGACCATCTTCTGCTTGGAGTGCTTTACTTTCTCCTTGTCACCAGCGAAATACCCTAATAAGGATCTATTATCTAGCACACCACGAAGTTTTTCCTGTTCATCCCATCAGCAGACATAGTAGGAAACAAAACCAGATAAAATCGTACCTCCATGAGCTTCTTACTACGAGTATCACTAGCGTTGGACTCAACGATATCGTATCCTTCAAGCTTCGCCACCAAATGAGCAGCCGTTGTCTTCCCTATACCCGGCGGCCCATGGATCATAACAGCTCTGGCACCTCCCATCCCATCAGCACCTCTCATCCTGAAACCGGTCTTAAGATTCTTTGGCCAATTTCTTAACCATCTCCCGAGTTTTTCGACCTGACCCTTATTGCCGCAAATTTGGGTCAACTGCGAAGGCGCGTACTTGACTGTCCAGAGCTCTGTGGCCTCCTTCTCAATGGCTTCTTTTCCTCTACTCTTGGTTTCATCATCCATTTCCTTTGCCAGTTCACGAACCTTCTGCTCCTCCGCCGCTTTCTTGGCCTCGTTGGCTCTTGCTGCGAGTCCATCACCGCCATTGGCGGGAAGAGATGAAATAAGCTTGAAAAGTCCATCCTCGTTGATTGTCTTAATTTTAAGTTTGTGTATGGTTGCCAATTTCTTTGGACCGGCATCACTCCCAAGGACTACGTAGGAGGTTTTTGTGGATGGAGCTGAAGTAATCTTACTACTCGAGATATTAGCATTAATTCCCCAATACCCACTAACACAAACAGCTTACCCTCCGTATTTTTTTACCAGCTGTTGCCCGTCCTCCCTAGCCAGGCTCTCCAATATCCCAGTGAAAACAAAAGTCAATCCAGTCAGGCAGTTTTCCTGGCCAACAGGTATCTCCTTGCTACCAGGAGCAATCGGGACTGCACCCTGTCGTTGTTTGAAATCCCTATAGTTGAACTTCTTGGGCTCACCATCCGTCGGGGGTGGTGGGGTAGGTGGCCGAAAGATCGGGACACTATCGAGTATCTTTCGAACACTATCACTCTCCTGGGGTGCTTCTTTAGATTTTCTCGGTACTGCCTTGGCTTTCTTTGCCGCGGGCTTCTTAGCCGCAGGCTTCGAAGCCTTGGCAGGAGGTTCACCTCGCTCAATCTCGTCATAGTCGTCATCATCCCCGTGTTCGTAATGGGATTGAGCAGCCCTGCGCTTCCTTGTTGCGGATGTAGCAGCACTTCGTCTCTTTGGCTTCACATATTCGTCTTCCTCCTCTTCGTCATCCACGACAAAGCTATCTACGTCCACACCTTTACCCTTTGGTAATGAGAACTTCTGCTTCTTGGCAGGAGGGGAAGTGTTCGCTTTAGATTTTGCCGGTCCATTCTTCTCCACAACAACGGCGAAACTAGCCTTAGTATCTTCGCCCTCATCTTCCTTATAATCATCCTCCAACTTCTTGAACTCCTCTGCGTAAATCCCTTCGTCGAATTCGTCATCGTTTGGAAAGTACTCTTCTTCAGGTGCAGGTTTTTTCGGTTTAAGCGGAGATGTACGTAATATTTTATTTTTCCCAGTACTCGCAAAATAAGTTGAAGTGGTTGTAGGCTCAGCCCTATTTTCCTTGGTGTTCTTTCTCGGAGTTGGTTTCTTGGTTATCTTCTTAGCCGGCTTCTCTTCATCGTCGGAGTCTTCTGAACAAGATATCAGCAAGTCTAACGGAGCCCGCCAAGTTAAAGAAGGCAAGGGAATACGAACCAACAACTCTGCGTTTTCTCGCCGAGGCTCTCCTCTATTATTGTGACCGTAATCAGTCCATGAAACTTAAAGGGAGCGATTAAGGGGACAAAAACAAAGAACATACAGAAGCAGGAGTAGGGGTCGGGGCCGGTTTCGATTTTCCAGCGACCGGTTGCCCGCCCTTAGGAGTAAAGAAGTTGCGAATATCGGCCGACATTGCCCTGCTATTTGTTGAGACGAAAAGTTGAGGAAGGAGATGTGAAGTAGATAGAAAATAAGACGCGTCCAAGAGGCGAAAGGTGTGTGACGCGCTGGGAGTGTAACCCACAGGTTACGACTGGCTTGGCGAGACTCCCATTCAGTCGGATGACATATCACTCGTACTGTATCATGCTCACAGTTGATTCCCCTCAGCGATCTAGCTTGGCAATTCCAAGAAATGATTTTTGTGAGACTCCCGGACGCGGACTGAATGAAGCGGCTGCCTAGTTCTGTCACTTGACAGCCATTGGGTGCGAAGGGGAGAAAGGGGAAGGAACTCTTGTAGCCTTTCCTGGACACTGATAGGGAAATAATCAGCTATAGTCTTGGGTCGGGTGTTATTAGACCTCCATCCAGCAAGGAATTGTCCCGGCTAGAGTGGATATCACCGCAGGCAATTTCTTCTCATGCCAACTTCTTCGGGGTTTTTGTGTGAGAGAACAGGAGGGAAATGGGCAGCTTACAATCTTTACCAAACATGTGATGGCTATTGTGCTATGTGCAATTATAAGGCTCCTGTCACAACATCTAGTTTCTACTTTACTGATACCTCCTCGATTCCAAAGATATTACCCACAATCTGCTTGCTACGGTATTGCATCTGCTCGACCTCCTTCCCGTGTGGAAATGCTATGAGTACCACTATGCCATAATATAACTTGCGGTGTGTTGGCCATATTTCTAGCATACTTGCGACTCTCGTGCTTCAACAAATACCCACGATGGTCGAGAAAATTGGCAAGTCAAACAACTCAGATACTCATACTTCATCATTCATTCTTCTAAACCACGCAGGCATCTGCATCATATTAAACGGTGTATTCCATTTCCAAGATTCAACTTTTGAATATTCCCACAAGGAATCAACACCCCCAAACCGTTCCCGCCCCACTATTTATTTGGGCATTCAATTACCCATGCCTAACATCCATTATACCGTATCATAGCCAAAGCATAAGTGGTAGCCTTCGCGCTGTTCGGCAATCTGATGCTGAACTTTCCGGCTGATTTCTACCATCCACACAAACTCCCGTGACTAACAAAGCCGTGTGAGCCTAATCTAATCTGAGAGGTGGGCGAGAATTATCAGCAAATACCTTGGGATAGCACGTAACAATAAAATCTAACAAGGACACAATAGCTCCCAAAGACTTCAGTTCCTACCCCTAAATATGTGGCACTCCCCCGAGATAGTTCGGGCACAATAGGTAATCAGTTCGCGGTATTCAGCTATTGGAAAGTGAAGGTATAAACCTATCAGTGATTAGACCCAAGACTCCATGATCCACGGCCAAGCTCAGGCTAGAAGCCATGACATGGAGGGGGATCCTGGCGAGATATCTCAGGAAAGCATGAGCACTTCCTATTTTCTTCCCTCAGTTGGCTCGTGTTTCCATACCAGGAGCCTGTACCCCCCCTCGGAATATTTACTCGAGTATGATACTGTGATGCAGACGTGTTGAAAGGGTAAACGAATATCAAATCTTGGGCTAGAGGGACCAATGCCAGGTGGGATCCTCCAGTGGCTAGGAGGATTATACTAATTGACGGGAGACAGATCCACAAGCGTGGGTGCCTATAACAGTATGGCTCGCGCGTTAGTGTCGAGGAGGTGCCCTGAATTGCATGCCACGGTATATTAAACATATACCCCTGCAATCGATGGTATTTTAAACCTTTTCTCATTGAGAAAACCTTTCAAATACCATGGAAAACAGGGGGGTACCTTTATAATACCATTCTTGGCAAAAACATACCATCGCAAGGTTTCACATTGCAATGATCAACAAAATATTCACTCTAGCACAGAGTTCCCCAGTCTTTTTACCCCTCAAACAATCCAAAAATATTGTAAAAAATCTTATAAAAAAGCCAGAACTACTTGAGACCTGCTAATATTTTTTTAAATTGTTTCTAGCAATTTTCTTAGGATTCTTGGCCCAAAAAATCACCAAGAACATACTACTATTAAGCGAGGTCAGACCAATGTGGTTCTGTGTGAAGGTTTCACTTTTTCGAAGGTATATTTCTCGGTCAATGGTATCCGGAAGGTTTTTTCGCCAAGAGCATGGTATTGAAAAGGTTCACTCTTTTCTCATTGCTTTCGTGCTCCCATGTAGCCGGTCACCGGGTAGCCGTTTAGCTCTTCAGGTAGTGCATGCGCATGAGGCGGTCAATCGAGCAAGTGTAAGCATACAGGCTGCCCTAGAGGACAGATACGACATGATACCATAAAAAGCTCTCGAAATCCACCACTGATATCACCGCCCGCTCCGTACCACAAGTGGCAACAAAACAATTGACAATTGGAGAATTATGCTGATAGCTATCGCTCATAGATCGGATATCCCTAGAAACTGGTGTCTTGAGTAGTGCTGGGAGGATCTAAGGAGCAAGTGTAACTCTCACAAGCAAAGTGTGGTGGAGTGGTTGATATTGCACGGGCAAAGGCAGGGGTGACTTTCAATTTCGGCGGGTTTGATACTGATCCGCGGTCAGGGGCTCCCGAGAAGGATTTTCTGACACGGCATGATGAGCCCCCTGGACATGTTAGGTCTCATTAACTCGTTTTCGCAATTCTGTTAACCTATCAAACTAATCCTATCCTTAGACACTGGTGTGGGAATTATTCGATGACTTCCCCTTCCGGATGGTGGATTGACCGGGCACACCTGTGCTGAAGAAATACGGCTTGTGACCTGCTTGATACTGTACTGGAAGGTAGTGACGATAGAATTGACTCCAGATAGAACCAATGTAATGTTGTCAAGATGGCAAGAGCAAATCAAGGATAAAGTGAGGCCCAACGGAGGTGGAGTAAAGATTGAATTGAGTACTCGAGTAGTGAAAACACCATACAAACTACCCAAGACTGCCCTATCCAATTGCTCTTGCTCACACCGGTAATGTGGTGGTGGATTTCAATAGGTTTCTAAATTATTTATTCGGGGAAATAAATTTACCCGAGTATGGGCTCATATACATACCGGTATGCCGTAGTAGTGTATGATAATATTACGATATCATACTTGTACTGTACCTTAAGAATTATTGAACTTTGCACTAAGACGTCAAGTATTTCCCCCTCTTTGGATAAGAGAAGGAATCATACCAGTACCAGAAAAATACCGGCCCTCGTCCCTTCGCTTGAGACAGAGCTTACTGGGGCAGGCAGACTCCAACGTTCTAGCGCAAGGTTCAATTATTCCCCAGTTTTTAGGTCACTTCATCAACGGGAAAAAAGAATCTCAAGCACATCCAATAGTGCAAGACCAGCGTGAAAGCCATGTAAATCTACTTTGTAAGTTCATATCTGGGCCATAGTTCACCTCAATTCCATTTTTTCCGCAGAATTGTCGCATCCCGCTGCCATTGGCCCCTTGTAGCTGGGACGAAACCTGTCCCATCCCTCACTCGGCCTGCAGGGCTCACTGTCCTTATCCCGTTGATATTGTACAAGTACTGTACTCGAGTAAGCCATAAACTTCTCGGGTGGGGCGGGTGCACCGCAATAAGCGGGTAATATGCAAGACTAATACCTAGCACCCAATTAATTATCCCCATCGTTAACAGCCCTGCCAGCAGCCCGCTTCAGCATCCCTTCTCGGAATAGCTTACTATCCCCCCGCGACTCCTCTCCTACTACGGTTACTGTTGCTCCTCCTCCTGTCCAGCGCACCGCACCGCACCGTCTCTGCCCTACGCCTGCAACACCCATTACCATTCCCAATCCCAATCCTCAACCCCGATCCCTCACGGACCCCTTTTCACAATACAAATAACGGACAGGTCCCCCTCATCTCTGATTCTTCTTCAACACCTATTCATATCATCAAGGGGGATTCAGAAAACATGTCGACTTTCTTCTCTACCGCTAAACGCTCGTTCAAGGATGTAGGTGTTGAAGGGGAGCAAATTCATACAACAGAGTTTCTTGAGGCTAGCGAGTCGGTCGTTTCATTGTTTGGTATTTCTCCCCTGTTTCAATTAGCGATTGAAGTAGACAACGGGATGCTAACTATTGCTACCACAGACCTTCTCGGATCAACAGCCTTTGCAGCTGTGCAGAAGGACATGACCGGAAACATCAAGGTATCCCACCTTCATTCACTAACTCCCTCTCTTCCCGTCCCATCATTAGCCCGTCTCTGCTCTAGACTACCCCGCACTTTCCCCTCCGTTGAAACGAAACAGAAAATACAGCTAATAAATTTACAACAGAAAATCCGTGACCGCCAAACCTCTCACCCAGAAGGATCCGGAACCCTCCAGAACCTCTGCACAAGTGAGCTCGCAGAAGGCAAACACACAGCAACTGAAGGCCTCGTCTGGCTCCACCGGTTCGTCCGATACCCTGGTCTCAATTGCACGCCCAAACTAACTCGAAGTTACTGTCATTGCTACTACTAGTGGACTCGAATTCACCGAAAAGGCCCTTCGCAAAAACGTTAACAACCCCACTGAAGAACTCGCCACCTCGTTCACTAATGCCTACGGTGAGACGCTCAAGAAGCACCACAACATGATCGTCAAGGGCGTGTTTACACTCGCGATGAAGGCGTGCCCGTACAGGGTGGACTTCTACAAGAAGCTTGGTGGAAACGAGACGGAAGTTAACACTGAGCTGGGGGAGTGGCTGACGGCTTTGGAGTTGACCAATGGGATTTTGTCCAGATATCTTGCTGGCGTTAGCTGGAAATAGGACTGTTAGATGTGGTGGTGTGCTCTAGAGAAAGACGGGGCCCTACGACCTAATTTTTCATGGGCATGTGACCTAAGTCCTGGAATAAAAGTGTTTGCCTATGCGATTTTGAGACGCCTAAATTTAATGGTTTACTGAGTCATACACTGGGGTCCGGACTTGATTGTTCGGCTCCTCGAGGTAAACACCGGCATATAATCTCGGAAATCATGTGATCGTCCAGCAGTAATATCATACTACAAGTAGACTACCGCATGCGTTTCAACATGGAGTACCCGGGTACGGTACTTGTACTGTACCGTCTCAAGCAAATACTAGCTGAAAAGCTTGACGTGATTTGCAGGTGTTTGTGTTGATTGAAGAGGCTTCTGGTGTCCTATCAGGCCTCTTTGGTTTATCTGGTCCAGTGTGCGGGGGAAGGACGATCGTTCCAGGGCTCAAATGGTGTTTCCTTCCTTAACTAACCTAAAACCCCTGGGGCTGGAGCTTCAATATCTCATATGAGGCCTCAGTCGTCGTAGAACTTGTTTTTGTGCACCGCTACAATCAATCATCACGAGGAGCAAGCAATCATCGCAAAGCAGTAAATTTTAAATTACTCCCCAATCAACCACAAAAAACAAAAGATTTAATGGAAGAAGAGGAGGGAGGGGGAGAGGTATAAGGTGTAAGAAACCATGTCTAGTAGGATCTTCCAAAGAGAGTGTAATGCTATTTGCGCCGTTAGGATATATCTCTGTTTCCGAAAGAGGAAGGGGAAGGTGCAAACCTTAGCGTTCTCACCACACTGCGCACACTTTGTTGTTCCCGGGATGATGGTGTCGTCACCTTTTGGCTGGTCGAATGGGATGCAGAGAGACTTCGCACCCATTGATGGAGCTTTTGCGTCTTCTGGGGCGTCGTCGTCATTGCGGCCTTTGCTACGTTCTTTGACTTCGTCTTCGCATTCCTCTTGGTCGCCTATTGTTGTGATTTATTAGCATATTGATTATTGACGGGCTTTAATTTTAGAAAGGGGACTTACAATGCGGCATGAGAACAACGTTCTTAGCATTCAATGCGGGAGTAAAGTCCTCCCACTTCTTGACAATGATAGTATGATCGTCGTATGCCTTCTTAGCTTTATCGTAGAGGTCTTTCTGGATAGTGTCTAAGAGTGTCTGAACCTTTTCTGCGAGGCCGCTAAGGGGGATACCGACCTTGACGCCAGTATCGCGACGGGCAGAAAGGACTTGTTTCTTCTCCATATCCTTGGGTCCAAACTCCAATCTCACCGGAACCCCCTTCAATTCCCAGTCGTTGAATTTGTATCCTGGGGAATAGGTTTCGCGGGTGTCTGCTTTGACGCGGATGCCGGCTTGAGACAGAGTTGTGGCGATGTCCTCGACACCTCCAAGAAGCCTCTTACGCTCTTCTTCGGTGGTCTTTGCGGTGAGACCGCAGGGGACAATGACGACTTGGTATTGAGCTACCCTGGGAGGAAGAACAAGACCCTTGTTGTCTCCGTGGATCATAGTCATGACACCAATGACACGGGTGGAAAGACCCCAGGAGTTTTGCCAGACGAAGAGTTTCTTGGCTTCTTCTGGGTCACCTTCTTTCCAAGATGGGTCCTCGACGACGATGTTGAACATCTTGGAGAAGTTCTGGCCGAGGCAGTGGGATGTCGCACCTTGAATTCCACGGCCGGTGGTAGGGATGTATCCCTCGCAGGTGGTGGTGAAGAGGCCTCCGGCGAACTTCTCCTTCTCAGTCTTACGGCCTCTGATGGTTGGGACAGCGAGGAGCTCAGAGTAAATGCCTGCGTACCATTCGAGAATTTGTAGGACCTCCTCCTCAGCATTTTTCTGGGAGAGATGTGCTGTGTGGCCCTCTTGCCACAGGAACTCGCGGGTGCGGAGGAAAGGTTGAGGGTGCTTGAACTCCCAGCGGACAACGGAGTTCCACTGGTTTAGCTTGAGGGGGAGATCACGGTGACTGCGGATCCATTTTGCGTAGTAGGGGTACATGACAGTCTCAGAGGTTGGGCGGATGGCGATGTGCTCTTCAAGCTCATTCTGGCCACTGGGAAATAATTAGTAAATTCATATTGGTTGCCAACAGAGGGGTGATATACGCTCTGGTGACCCAAGCAACTTCAGGAGCGAAGCCTTCAATATGGTCCTTCTCACGCTCGAGGACTTTCGCAGAGACGAACATGGGAAAATAGCAGTTATCTACACCAATAGATTTGATGTTGATGTTGAACCAGTCTTGGACTTTCTCCCAGATACCGTACGACCATGGCTGACAATCGAGTTAGCTCTCAGAAGGTTAATAGAGAAGAGTTCTACGAGCCTTCAGAATATAGCATCCAGAAATGTCGTAGTATTCTAACATATCACCCTTGGTAAGCACTTGCTGGTACCAATTAGAGAAGTCGATTTCCTTCTGAGTTGTGATCCCAATAAGTTCCGCATCTGGAATTCTAGCATCGGCAGCCTTGGTCGATTTGATGGGGACCTTTTGGAGGCCTACTTTCGGCTTTTCCTCGTTTCGGCGTCTATCCCATAAGTTAGTCAAGGTTCAAGTGACTGGGTCCGGTCCAGTTAAAACTTACTCGATGGCGACTGTGTTAAAGGTGCATATAGTAAGTTTCACGCCAGTTTCTTCGAGATGGCGCTTAACATCAGCACCGGAGACAAAGGAAGTAGTATTCGATCCGGAAGGATGGATAGCAACTTTGGGAGCATCAACGAGACGCTGGTCAAGGAGAACTTGTACGGCTGAAGAATTATCCTTGGTGATTGTCAGGGGAGACACATCGGCAGGCTTAACTCCAAGTGCGGCATTCACTGCATCATCGTTGGCCATACGGGTGTCTTTGACATCCAAAGTCTTCTGGATCTCGGAAGAAGACGTTGTAGTATCTTCTAATGCTACTACTACAACTAGAACTGCGGTTTGTGTCTTCGGGGTTTCTATACCTCTGTGAGCAGTGACCCAAATATAATTGCCAGGCTTCCTTGAAACCCTCAAAGAATATCAGTACGCACTGGGCTTGAAAACCAAGGTTTTCGATAGAGAGTAAGACTCCGGAAGACCCTTCAGTGCCTCTAGCTGAGAAGCCCATTCCTTCGAATTGGCGCAGGGACCGTGCTCAAGTGTCGAAGCGTCTTTGGCAGACATGTTGAGTAATGTCTTCTGTAGAAGGGTGGCCTGGAAGCTCTGTGTGAGGGGTGATAAAAGGAGGGGAGGAGGCAAAGGATCGCCAGTACTATTTGCTCTACAAACCCCAGGCTGGGAATTTTGGCGGGGTTGTAGGAGGGGAGGATAGAGCTCAGCAGTGGCTGGGCTGCAAGTTACCCGGCTAGTCCAGGGCTCCCAAGGTCAGGGTCCTTTTTTTCTTTAAAGAAAAGAAAACCTTTTTCCATCTCGCGCTTTCTTACCACGAGTATACTAAAGTATCTGCGCTATCCTTCTACTCTTCTACAATTTAATCCCTTCTCATCCCCCTTTATATCTCCCTCTCCTCCTCATTCCTCTATCCTTCTACTCCTAGGGTCAGGGTCCTTTGGTGGGCTAGCTTGTACTACCTTGTAGTTATTGTAGCATACGGTAGGTATCCTTGTTTCCCTCATCGAGGCGGATGGTGTAGGTTTGATGCGCTCAATCAACCATGATATCTCGAGCTACTTATATATGCCATCGCTGCGTATTCCGTCGGTCGCTGCAGTCTGCGCTCCAGCTTCGGGTCCAGTCTACCGGTAATTAATTGTGCAATCGGACATGAATTACTAGTTATGCAAACGCTAATTGGTAGGACGACTTTGAACTCAGGTCCAAAATTCCTTGCGGATGGGCTTTTACGTCGAGCCCAGCAACTCAGCAATGAACACTCTGAATTGGAGAAGCAATTGGCGGATAACTACGATAAGAAACTTGCGACTCGAGCTGGCCGGTTAGCCTCCGTCTCTCGGTCACTGAGAGAATATCAAAATTCCATAGCCGCATGTTCCCCGTCCCCATTCATTTGCTACTAAAATACTCGAAACTAACTTTCATAGACCTTAAGAGAGCTCAGGGAAATGCTCGCAGACCGCAACCTAGACCCTGAGCTCCGCCCGCTAGCAGTCTCGGACATAGCGTCTACTGAATCTTCACTTTCCGCACTAGCTACAACAATAACACAATCTCTCGTACAGCCCCACCCATTCGCGCATTTGTCCGCCCTGGTGGAAATCCGACCTGGTACTGGGGGCTCAGAAGCAAGTTTGTTCGCGGGTGACCTTTTAAAACTGTACACTATGTATTGTGCTAACATTCGCAATTGGCCGTTATCAATGGTTTCTCTGACTGCGGGTGCGGAGGGTGGTGACGGTGTTCAGGAAGCGATATTCGAGGTTGAAGCTTCGGGGGCGTACGAGATATTCCGGGGTGAGGCAGGCGTACATAGGGTGCAGCGGGTTCCAGCCACGGAAAAGCAGGGCAGAACACATACTTCTACTGTGAACGTGGTTGTCCTGCCTTCATTCCCCGAGGTCCAATTAGGAGAAGGCGAGGAGGACCCAGACAGTATCATCGACATGAAGGATGTGAGGGTCGATGTTATGCGTGCCAGGGGTGCTGGAGGTCAACATGTCAACACTACCGATTCGGCGGTAAGAATGACACATATTCCCACAGGCATTGTAGCTGCGATACAAGATTCGCGATCTCAGCATAAGAATCGGGCAAAGGCTATGGTGGTGCTAAAGAGTAGAATTGCGGAGAAGAGGAGAGCGGAGAGGGAGGCAGAAGAGTTGGCGCTAAGGCGGAGCGTTGCGAAGGTTAATGCCGGGCGGTCAGATAAGATGAGGACATATAACTATATTCAGGTATGCCGATTTTCCCTCTCTATAACGGAATTGATATTGATTAGGGGGTAGAATCGAGTGACAGATCACAGATGTGGGTTCAGTTTACATGACTTGCCAAGTTTCATGAATGGCGAAACGTTGGATTCCATGATTGATCGGGTGCGGAAGTGGCAGATGGAGAGGGATGTAGAGAATCTGGATACCAGGTGATAGGACAGGCCTCACTATGTAAATAAGGCGTAGATTATAGACATCACAAAAATCTAAAAGCTTTTACCCAAAGTGTCTGAATTTGATTCACTCTCGTTATCATACTATATCACTCGTCGCCATTTCACAGTCTTCAATTATCCCATACGCCCCGGCGTCCTGGCCTTACTCCAACACCAAATCACGCCCAAAATTGCAAACAAAACAAAAAGGCCCACTATATAGTACACGGCCGGTATACACATCTCTACCAACCCTACAATCATACACAAAAACCAATGGCTAAACCCATATACTAAGGACCCACCTCTCCACGACATCACGCAATCTCACTAATCCTCCCCTTTGCGGGAAAGAAAGCATCCAGATGCGAGCGCCGTCCCACCAATTCATCGCACGGGCACTCACAGACAATACTCTCGTCTAAGAACTTGGTTTCAACAAACCTCGCGTCACCGATATTCCTCAACCTCCGCAACAACTCCTGGCAGAGCTTTCGGTCGTTGGCTAGTTCCTTCGCTGTCCGCAGGGCGGACAGATAACTAACCTGTGAGACCTCCACAATTTTTACCCGGCGGAAGGAGGATAGCTCCTTCGAGATTGTCGACACGTCCGGTGGTGGGAGCGACGATGGAGATGCATCAGACGGGGATAAGGGCTTATCGTATCTCGGTTCGAGGACACGAATAGGAGTCTCGACAGGGCACTCTTTTGAGTGTTGGGCCCAGAGTTGGCAGAGCTTACTGAGGGGCTACATTAGTTCACTGTCAAAGCTAACATAGAAGGTAAGGAAGAAGGAAAAAGAGATAGTCTAGTATTACCATTGAATCCACCTACGGCTGCTCCCAGCCGCACTGAACGCACCCGGAGTTCCACAACTTGGACATTTACTCTTGAAATCGGTGACCTTGGGCGCGCTATCCATGTGACGGAAGAGCATGCTCATAGATATTAGTCTCCCGGGGGTAATATTTTCAACCCACTCAGTCGAAGTGATCTCCTTCTGAGACTCCCCGTCGCTAACGGAGTACTCCCTCAAGAGCACCTTCTGGTGACCAGGCAGGCCGCGGAACGACAGCTCCAAAAAACCGTGGAACATCTCCAATGTTGAGCAGATTACGAACGGTACCGGGAAAGTCCTTCCGAGGGCATCTTGCAGTACGATGGAGCCCTCGATGCCGGGGTAGAGGTTTTTCGGGATCTTCGGCTGTTGCAGGCAGATGGCGAGTTCCATATCCGAGACTTTGTTCTCCAGAGAGAATACCGAGCGGCTTTCACTAATATTAGCCCGACACTCTAGAGCACCAAAGACCGTGAGCGGGCTAAACAAACGGGAGGGCGCAACGAAAAAGCCATGAAAAATGTCCTGGCAAGTGCTGATCCCGCATGGTTTGTTCGCGGAGCCCGCCTGTCGAACCCTCTCACAGTCGAATAAGAGTAGGAAGGAAGAAAACATCATAACATACATCCCCGCGACCATCAACAAAATATTAATAGCCTCGACCCTCCGCCTCAGCGAGTCCTTTAGCATGACCACGTCCTCCTCTTTAAATATTTTGTAACTAATCTTCCTCCAAGCATCCTTAACCTTCCTGCCGGAGCCGCCGTGACACAGACTCTCGCGATACTTCTCCGTACCAGCGGTGAAGCCCAGGATCAACTTCCGGCAACACTCAACTTCATAAGTAATCGCATTGACGGTAGAAGCGTGGGATTTTTCACCCCGCCGCAACTTCTGCACTACGTCCTGGACTGCCAGGAATGCGCTGTGCAGCGACTTCAACTCATCCGATAGTCTTGAGTACTGTGCCCTTGAACCAGTGTCGGAGTCCAGAGCGTCGACGAGGTTCAGGATTAAGCAGCTTATGGCGATAAAGTCGCCGACCGAGAAGCCGAAGGACATCTTCGCTCTTGTTTGCTTTCCTGCTCTCCTGCTTTCTGGCTGCCCGAGCTCAAGCCAGTGTGATTCTGAAGCTACCCATTCTAGAGAATCCACAATCGGATGATGGGGGGGCTCTCACTGGTTTATATGCTATCTTTCTTACCCCGAGCAACATACTAGAGGCAATGCCCTGGAGCGTTAGCACCGTACTGTATTATTTCCAGTGTGGCTGTGTCAATCGAAGCTTCCCGAAATGAAGAGATAGGAAGTATGATAGGTGTGGGGGTCTGAGGGGTTTTCAATTAGCGTACCGTAGCTGAGTCGGTAGCTGCTGCTGACAAGTCGGCAGTTGGGAAAGGTTTGTTATAAGTACGAGTACGGTAGCGTACTCAAGTACTGTACCACCCCCGATCTCGAGGCTGAGCAATGCGGGGAAGGAGAGCCCTTCACGCACTCGATATACAAGTACTGGAGTACTCGCACCGGTACCTTACTTGGGTACCGTACTTGTACTGTACCGTACAGTGCTCGAGTACCGGTACTGCGCTGATAACTTTATGCTTTATTTTATTTTACCTCCTTTTGCTGGGAGGCTAGCTCGTTCCTGGTTGGGCCCTGACACTTCACCAGCTGAAAGACTGCCAGGATAATAAATTCGATTGAATGCCGAGACTGGGGTGGGGCTCCTGGACCTAGCGTAGAGCCCGTTGGAAGCTAGGAAAAAGGTCTATCGTATCGAACTTTGATCGCGCAAGTGCAGAGCGACCCGGCGGGGGACTTTTGCGCTCTATATGGTGAGATGCTTTGATACGCTGATATGCAAGGACGGGAGTGAGGGATCTCCCTCGCGTAAAGAGTGCAGAATACTGGTAGGGGCCGTCTTTCTTCGGCAGCGTCCATCTAGAGGTATACACTATCGCTAGTGGGATGAGGGATCTCACCCCGCCCAAGGGAATAGAGAGTCCCTAAGAATTCTAATTTCGACTCCTCATACTAACCGCTGAGTACGTTAACTCTGCTATCTCATTCTCTTGAGGGGATGAATTACTCGGGTTATCTCTTGCTAAGCTCCTTCCAAGCATAGCACAGGTGTCGTGCCTCGCCTTTGTATCCACGGTTTCCCACTCGGGCACCAGGTTGCTTTAATCATGTTGCCACGGTTTATTGAAGCATCTTAAAGGGTTTCAAGTATTTCGTGTGTGCTCGTGTGTAGATTAGGTGATTAGGTGATGGGCAGATGCAGGGGGTGAGTACAGTACTATAGTACGAGTACCGGTACAGTACATTCCGCTCAAGCCAGGTCTCACGCACTCCGAACCCACTATTATTTACCCCTCCTCACTTCAGAGAAAATCTTTATTGCCCCCACTCTTCAGATACGAGTACAAGTACTTGTGCCGGTGGCTTATAGAAACGTGGGATATCCCAATTGTTACCCTTCGCAAGGTGCTTTTCTTTGCTAACGTAAAACCTGCCCTCTCTATCACATTTCCTATACAAACAAGGGGCAACCACTGCTCATCCTCATCCACCAGCAACCCGGTGATCCGACACCCTCTCAGCCCCCCTCCGAGCCCTTCTGCGACCTCTATCGTTTGCCCAATGGCACACATATCAAGAATACGAGCTGAGTGTCGAACCAATATACTAGAAAACTGGTACCGAGGTGACAAAATGCGCTATTCAACCCACCGAATTAATAGACGCGTGATTTTGAAGGAGGCAATGTCAGTGACTCAAAAGTGTGTATCTCAAGCTTCTGAAAAAGCATCCAAAACTAAAAAGGAAATTTCCTCAATATTATGGACAAAGATCCTATTCTAGCCCGAAGTAAACAACGTGCCCATCTGCCGTTCTATCCCAAAACGAAATATTACATATGCAAAAGAAAATTAATTAATGGAGCATGACCCTGTCCTTGACACAAAGTGCCTCCAATCCCATCAGGAGTATTATAAGAAAAACAGACTCCGCGCTGCACGTGGCCCTTCCAACCCTGAGCTCTTTATCCGGCTGCTCTGGTGTCAAGATCGACGAGCCAGACGACTCACCAATGGGATACGGGCCTAGTAAACGCCTCACCTTCCTCAATCCAAGCATGGTATTTCCTCCGTGCTTCACAAGCCCGCGACAACACACCGATTTACTTTTGATTCAGAAAACTAGCTTTGCAATCGCAATCCGAGCATATAAGTCCTCGATAGGTCCCAGGGTGTGTCCCTGTGGGGTTGTACAGCCCCGAGTGCTTGTTCACTACAGATACTGCTACATTATGGATTCCTACGGAAGTATGTTCTTATCTATGAACATAAACAGCGAATCGCAAGATTAACGACTTGTTCGATTATAGAAAGTACTACTGTCTCACCGTCTGTTGTGTCGATAAATGCCTCCCCTCAACATCAAACAAACACCATCAAGCCAGGCCCGAATGCCACCGAGCGAAAGCTACTGGCAAAGATAGACATCAGGCTGATACCTATCTTAACTATCTTATACATCCTGGCCTTTTTGGACCGGTCCGTGGAAAGGGATACACCTACCAACTACTAAGATCAGAGCTGACCCCCAGAGAATTCAGTGTAAATATCTCCAATGCAGCAATATTCGGCCTGAAGGGGGATCTCGACCTCGGAGGCGTCGAATACAACACGGCACTGACGATATTCTTCGTTCCATATATTCGTAAGCCTCGAACCAATACCTTTCGCTTTCAATCACCAAGCTAATGAACGATAGTCTTTGAGATACCTTCCAATATCCTTATGAAGCAGCTCCGACCACATATTTGGCGTAGTGAACCAATCCCTAGGTTATATAGTTCAAGCTAATGATTCTTAGTTTCGCTCTGCATGTTTCTGTTTGGTCTCGTAACGTGCCTCCAAGGGTTCGTGCAAAATTATGGCGGATTACTGGCCACGCGTTTCTTCCTAGGCCTTTTTGAGGCTGGTATGTCCGAACTCCATGCTCCCCGGAGTGAATTACCCACTGAGTGATAAGGAATGTTTCCTGGCTGCTTTTACCTCATCGCAATGTGGTATAAACGGGAAGAAGCCCAGAAAAGGTATAGCTTTTTCTTCTCTGCTACTACGCTTGCTGGAGCCTTTGGTGGTCTGTTGGCAAGTGCCATTGGAAAAATGGACGGTATGCAAGGGTTTAGAGGGTGGAGATGGATTTTCATATTAGGTAGGCATATGTGATTTTGACACCTCGATTTCCCCCTCACTGACCATGGAGCTACTATTTTAGAAGGGTTACTCACGTGTACACTTTCTTTCCTCTGCTACTTCCTCATCACAGATTTCCCGGAAGAAGCATCATTCTTATCAGAAGATGAGAGAGAATTCGTCAAGGCAAGGCTTCTAGCAGACGTTGGTCACTCGGGAAGGGAAACGGACCTAAGGGTTAAAGATATTCCCGATGTCTTTAAGGATTGTGGGTTGACCCTTCCCAAGGAAAGAGTGCCGAAACCGCATCCATGGCTAACATTTAGAAAGACAAAATATTTGTGGGAGGATTGATGTATATAGGTCTCGTTGTGCCCGCATATGGTCAGCTCACTTGGGGCTCTCCATCGCGGAACCCGAGAACTAATCTGTTTGTAGGATATGCATACTTTGCTCCCACAATCCTTAAAGACCTGGGATATTCTGGTATGCCCTAGGTCACTGCTTCCATTCTGACCACCTCCTCACGTGAAAATAGCTATCCAAACACAACTGCGCTCCGTGCCTCCTTGGGTTTGCGCCTTCGCCTTCGCCATGACAATTGCTGCAATCTCCGATCACTTGAAGCGCCGCTTCGCCTTCACCATGCTTCCGATACTTCTAGCCATCAGTGGTTTTTCAGTCCTGCTTGCAGTTCATGATAACGTAAAAGTGCAATATACAGCTCTATTTCTCGTTGCGATGGGTTGCTACAGTGCGATGCCAGTCATAGTATGCTGGTTCAACTTGAATCGTGGGTCCCCCCATCCATCCACCGAATACGGATGACTTATCAAGAATTGCCAGTCGGAGGCCACCGAAGGAGAGCAGTAGGCACCGCCTGGCAGATAGGCTTCGGAAACATCGGAGGAATCATCGCTACGTACTCATTTATCTCCAAAGACGCTCCGAGATACACCAAAGGATACGCAATATGTCTTGGATTCGCCTGTCTATCAGCCATATCGTGCGTGGTTTACTACATCGCCATAACAAGAGAAAATATGAAGCGAGAGATTGGTCAGAGCAAGCATTGCAATGCTACGGAGGAGGAGAAAAAAACCCTTGGAGACCTTCACCCTGAATATAGATATCTGGACTAAAGCGGGTTTTTTTTAATTTTTTTAATTTTTATTTTATGCAGGATGCCACCCTTTCATTTTAGGCATGGATATCCACTTTCTACCTATTTACGAGAATGTACAGTACCATATCATCGAAAGATTTCTAATACTAACTCATCACGGATTCCAATACAACTCAACCTCCACCACTTCACACTTCCTGACCGACCGGCTAACTTCTTCCTTGGCCTACCCTCCAGCCCCCCCCCCCATTCACAAAACTCTCATGGAATCCCATCTTTCAGCGCCCTCTAGCAAAAGCAAAAGCCACCCGAGTGAGCACCCGTGACACCCCCAAGGTCAAGAATTTAGGCGCACAACCCACCAGACCTCAACCGTGGATCCGAGAAGCGGAAGGTCCAACCTACCGTGATACCTACACCCCAGACGGGGCACTGGATAGGACCTACGGCACAGTGGCCGGGGCTTCAAACCCCAGCACGATGGAACGTGAAAATCGCCGTCGGATCCAGCAAAAGCCTCATATCGTATCATGTCAGCAACGCTCCCGGGTAGGGGGGGGACCGATCCATCACCGAGGACTCAAGACAGGGCGCGGGTCAGGCTCCGACAACTACACGTCAGCCCACGCAACAAACGGCAGAAATGGAAGGACCCAACCGACCACTTAATTCCGCTCCTCGGATCAGGCTATCATCACGCTATTGAATTCTCGCGGGATGTCCGTGCCCGCACACTGCAACCAACTTCTACCGCCCACGTCCACGACCCACGAACACCGTACAGTATCACAGCCCAATCATGGAGAATAAGTACAAATTGATCAACAGACGAGAGGAAAGAGAGAGAAAAAGTATTTGTTATTATGGGTAAAACTTAGTTTTAAGCAGGATGAGCTTGGGTGAAAATTGATGGGGAAGTTTAGGGATGGCAGATCCACCACAACCCAGCCATCACAGTTCACGTCTCTAGGAAGGAAGGAGGGAAAAAGAAAAAAAATGGAAGGGAAAAATCGAACATTACTCCTCACAAGGAACATCACGAAAGCATGATAATTTAAAGGAAAGGAGGACAGATGAACGTAAGGCAAATAATAGCGACCAAAACATTCCACTATCATAGTATTTTAATTTTTTTTCTACAAAACCATTCCTTCCCCCATTCCTTCCAAACTTAGACTACCCCGTGCGCAGTCCAATTGGGTCAAGTCAAGTCGAGTCCATTCCCCCCCAAGTCCGCCAATCCGCCATGCAGAACCCAGTCCGCAAGAGCGACAAAAGCATATGCTAGTATGATAGTACAGTACTCGCGCGTCTTTGCCAAGATTACCTCCGCTACCCGATAGCTCGGCGCTTTCAAGGTATATCCCGTATTGCAGGACATCAACAACCACCATGTTAAATGTAATACATCTTCACATTTCTTATAAACCAGCATGGTAAACTCCCATATAAATCATGAAAAGGAAATGAAAATAACAAGAGAGTTCAAGTAGATTTAGAAAAGGCTTCAGGCATTAAAGTTATTTTTTCTGCCATTTTCCTTCAAACAACATAAATTTGAATGAAACTTGTAACAGTATTTATCTATAACATCCTGTGGAAGGGTAAGCCATTCTGCTCTTATGATATCCTTATATTTCTCGATTTCCTTTCATACTTATCCTCATGATCTTAGGTGCTTAGTAATCTGGTCTTTAAGTACATGCTAAAGTGGTTCAATTTTGTTGATATCAGGTGAGTTTACTTGCCAGGCTGGAAGTCCATAAACTGGCAAGTCCTTGTGTGGTACTCGGGAGATCCTCCAGGCCTTTGCTTCCTCGGCATCAAGTCATGCTACTTGTATATGGTTGCCTGCATTGTCCTCAATCAACCAAATATGCCTTTAGCACTCATGGCTAAAGGCATTAAGAAATAAGTAAATCAATAGATGCAGAATGTAATGATCCCTTTCTAGATAGTTAGTTCTTGGCGACGGGGAACGATACTTATTGTTTCTGTCTTCTTCTTTCTTTGTCTTACGATAGCTTTAGGTCTCTGCCTACGTTACCGATAGTACAAGACCTTTGTCTTCTATCGAAAACGCCTATCGTAAGCTTTCTCTAACTCGTCTTCATGACGAGCGCTTCCTGGCGTAACGATAATATTGCAATAAAGATAAAGATCGTAAAGGTGTTTTATATTCGTTAAAGTAATAAGTAGGAAAAGTACTTAGAACAAAGCGTGAAGAACCTATCTTCCTCGGCTGCATCAGCCTCCTTATATAGTGTTCTTCCCGCCTTTAATCATGTGACCTAAAGTGGTCACATGCGCAAAACCAAATCATAACAAACTAGTCATGTGACCAAAGTGATCATATGCTCAAAACCCATGACCTTATAGCGAGGTCATGTGCAAAACTCATAAACCAATCATAACACAATAAACAAGTCATATGACTTGACTGAGTCATATGCGCGAAACCCATGACCTCATAATGAGGTCATGTGTGAAACATAAATCATATGTGCAAGGCTTACCCGCAAGGCACACTCGCAAGGCATACTCGTCAGGCGCATGTCCCATGACTCATATTTGAGCCATGTGCGAAAGCATCACAAATCCCACACATAACAAATCATATAACCCGAATGAGTTATATGCGCAAAACAATAACATACCTGTGACTCATAACCATCTGTCACGTGAAAACCTTTTTCCCTGCTAAGCCATATTTGTGACACAGAACCTCTTTCCAGTATATGAACTAATCAAATCTCTCTCCAACACTTTGCTCCATTACCTCCTCACCAAACTTTGAGTTTGAAATTTGGTACCTCTTCTGAAAGTCTCTAGACTTTCATTAAACATTGTAATTTTTAATTTAGTTTTCTTTTTTTAAGTAAAAACTTGTATTCCTCTATTCTAGCTGTATTGCCTAGTGACACTTTTCTGTAATTCATTGAATCTTCATATCAATTTCAGCACTTAACTCTTGAGTATTTTCTTTTCTTTCCACTTTTGTTTCTTTTCTCCAGATATAAAGTATATCTTTGTACTCAAGAGATACACAGACAAAGACCATTAGAGTAAAAAGAGGCTTGTTGAAAAAAACAACAAAATCATATGGATTGGAACCATAAGGACAGGTAATTTTCTGGTAACCACGAGTACTACCAATCTCAATATATAGTTCATTAGTAAAAGCAAAAGCCTCCATCAGTATTTCCAAAGCCTAATCTGAAAGTTGTCTTTGAGCAGCTCAGTCATGTTGTTCTAATTTCGACTTATAGTGAGAATTGAAATGTCCTAAATTGTGATATTTCTTTAGGAATTTGTAACAGTAAGAATGTGATATATCTGCTAGGCAGATATGATCTGTATAGACTCAGGCTTGTCTAGGCCAATTGAGATTTGTTTTGTAGATAGAGATTTGTCTAGGAAGGCTCAAAGGGTTGCTTATTTTGTTCATGACTACTAAGAGCGAAGTAAAGTAGAATAGAATTGTGTGAACAATATTATATTATTAAGGTTTCTTCTCCATTACTTGATGATGTCTAAAAGCTTGTGAGGCACATTAATATTTATATTCCGCATTTGAGTGTTCACAGAATACATCTATCATTCATACAAATTATTTACCTCTTTAACTATAACTTGCAATGTTGGATATTCTCCTAAAGTGCAAACACTAGGAGACTCCGAAAACCATCACACCTTCTTCTGTAATTACTATTTTGCTAATTGGGAACTGTACCGTTTTCTACAATAATTATCCAATCTGCAGAGTTTTTGAACCTATGGCCTAATTTTCAAGTTGAACTGTATTGGTCCCAATTATTTCGCCTATTGATGAAATGATTAGTTTCATCCTTGGATTGTATCTGCAGGATTTGTTATAAATATAACCTTCCTGCATTACCATCTGTAAACCGCCATAACTCCTAATCCAACTAACAGATATCCTCAAGATAACTTCCTACTAATTCAAAGGAAGCTATTCTATCAGATTAGTAGATAATTTCTTAGTTGCCAACTTCCAGTTTCTAGGTAATAGGGCTTTAAATGTCATTTAGTATTAGGAATAATTTCCACAACTATGATATATCTCTGGACATAGTTGTAACACTCTATGAAGCCTATAGACCTTTTTGATAGTGTCATTCAGAGTTCTTAACTCTTCTAATTATTGTAGTGTGGATGAAAATGTGTTAGCTCTTTGTAGAAATCCTCCAACATTCAATATTATATCTTTGTGAGAAAATATCCTATTATGTATGACCTAAGCCACTGGTGTTCTATTTTTAAAGCCTAGTAACTCTCTGAGTAGTAGACAGATTTACTCCATTCTCCTTTACAGAGCTAGTGGAAAGTTCCCTCTCATATACACAGCGAACAGGATCCAGTCAGATAGAAGATAGCAATGTATATAGTATTTGTTAGGCAGAGACAACCTGATAGACTTCAGAGTTGTCTAGGCCAATCAAGATTCGTTTCTGTAAACAGAGATTGTCTAGAAAGGCTTGGATTTACTCGTTTCATTTATGACTACTAAGAGCGAAGTAAAATTGTTAAAGTAAAATAGAGTGGTAAAAATAATATTATATTGTTAAGGTCTCTTCTCTATTTCTTGATAATATATAAAAGCTTGTGAGGCACTTCAATATTTATATTCTATATCTGAGTGTTCACAGACTACATCCATTTATTATACAACTGTGTTCCTTCCTGATTGTAACTCATAATATCAGGTATTCTTCAAAGATACAAATACCTAGAGACTCTGAAAATCACCACACCCTCTTCAGTAATTATAATATAGCTATCTAGAAACCATGCTGTTCCCAATATTAATTACCTAATCATTAGAGTCTTTAGACTTATGGCCTTAGTTCTCAAGTTGAACTGAGTTGGCCCCAATTGTCTCTATTATTGATGAAATGATCAGTTTCATCTGCTGATTGTATCTGCAACGGTAGTTATCATCACAATCTTGCTATGTCACCTGACTTCAAACCTTCATAACTCTCGACCCAAGCAACAGATATCTTCTGGAGGACTTTCTAATAATTCACAGGAAACTATTCTACTGGACCGACAGATAATCCCACAGTTAGCAACCCTTAGTTGCTCTAAGTAGTAGGATTTCAAATATTATACTAATATTG